CTGAATTCACTTTGCAGCGAGAAGATCAGATGAAACTAAAATATTCTCATCTTTTTGCTTAGTTATTTGTAACTACTTATTTTGCTTAAACTCTAATTTCAGGACGAAATTTCTTCTAACAGGGGAATGATGTGACAACCCAAAATTTCTATCTCGATCAATGGATCAATTTAATCAAAGATAGACTCATTTCGCTAGCTTTTAGCATTGTTTGGGGTCTATTTGAGTGTTCTAAATCCAGTACAATTATGGTAGGAACCTAGAAATGGGATAACACGATGCATATCAAGCAAAATCGGGCCAAACACTCCAACACATGGAGTGTGCGGCCGCACACTTGAGTGTACGGCCATACACAGGTGTGTGCGGCCGCACACCCATCCCAACCACACACTCCCACCAATATATTCAACACTTAGTCATTTTGAACACTTTTTCCACTTCTTCAAAGCTAGAACTCGTTTTCTCTCAAGTATCATCCAAAGTTTCACTTCAATCTTCAAACAAGTGAGTGATTCATCCTTTGAATAGCTAATATATGACCTTAACTAGCCTTTTCCCTTGATTTGATCCATGAAAACACCTATTTGGTGTTGGATCACCAAGAACACCAAGAACACACACTACTTTTGGGGCTTCTAACTACACTTTTAAGCCTCTAAATCGGGTATACACTTGCAGTAGCTTGTTATAAGCTAAAGACCCATGAATTTACACATGAAAAACGCCATTTCATATGATCTTCAAGCGTGTATGGCCGCACACACCATGTGTACGGCCGCACACACCAAGTATAGCTGCACATACTCTTTTTAGGTCCAAAAATGGCAATGAACTCCATATAAGGCTAAAGCATGAAGTAAGAAACCTTCCTAGATGAGTCCTAAAGCCTTAAAATACATTTTGGTACATTCCATAGGGAGAGTGCGGCCGCACACACACCCTGGCCGCACACCCTGGCCGCACACACACAAATAGTGTGTAATTTGACCATACACTCCCTTGCATAGCCATATACCCCTTATATACAATCATATATGGTTGTAACACTTCAAAATAAGTGTTTACTAGTCCCTAAGGTGGTTCAAATTCAATAATTAGTTGTTATAAGCACTAATTGTATTCATATATGTATCATTATATGTTAAATAGGATCCGCATGTGTGTTCAAGTCTTCACTTGACACTTAGCATCCTATACCATCCGTTCATCCAAACCACTCACTACAGGTGAGTTCATACCCTTAATCAATCCTTTTAAATGATTTTAAATGCTTTCATGGGGGGGGGAATACATGTAGAAAACAGAAAGTTATAGAATCAATCGCATGTGATTTATAACGGTGTTTTCAAGCAACTGATTTTCACATACTTCAAAATGTGTTAAATGCAATGGTTTTCAGTTATTTTATACTTGGTTATCAAATAAACTACTTTTGAATCGTTTTATAAACCGACATCAAGTCATTATTATTTATTGTTCAAAACTCTTAAATGTATTATAAAACCTCTTTCAACTTATTGATAAAAACCATATCTATACACTTATGTTTCATGTATATATGTATTGATATGAGGGCTTTCATTCTTTCTTTAGTTCCAACACTCTTGAGTAGCAAGGGTGTATAAACCTACTTGGACATTCAATGTACATTCTAGTAAACTTTTATAGGTATAGTTTAGGAGATACAAATTACCATTCCTAGTACAAGGAATTTCACAAGAATCAGTTCATTCATGAGTCTATACAAATATACTAAATACTATATGAAGAGATACTATTACTTGTTATACAGAGAGAAATACTAAATACGATATGAAGAGATACTATTACTTGTTATACAGAGATAAATACTATATATTATACAGAGAGAGATACTATATATACTATACGGGACTCACCATCCTACACCTGGCTGCTAGCTATAGCGGGACCTGTTCATCGACGAATGTTCTCGGTTGTACTGTTCAGCGAGTTTCCACGCCGTGATTATCCTAAGGCAAAAGGATACGATTTCAATGGTTATATAATTTTCCCTATTACTTTTATTTTGTGACACATTCACATAAACGATGAGGTAGACTATATTTTTATAATAATAGTTGTACATGGGAAAAACCTTCATTGATATAGAAATGCAAACCTTCAAAGCATTTGGTCCTTGGTAGAAGACTACCTTTTATACTAGTAGGAAATATGGGATTTTCTAGGGTTTTCACACTTATACTAAATGTTTCATTAAACATTTGCAAGTCTTTCATAACAGCTTTACAAATCAATGACACTAAAATACTTATGAATTCACCAGCTTTATGCTGATCTACGCTTTCATAATAACTTGTATTCTCAGGTCACCAGTAAACAGGTACGATGACCAGGTTTTGAGAAGACGGAGCACAGACAAGACTCGTCTTTTATTTTGATTACATATTTTGGTGTCTTATTACTATGAAAGAACATTCATGTATTAAAACTTTACTTTTAGTGCAATGGATGATGTTGTTGGTTGTTTACTACTTTGCACTGTTATGATACTTTACATGACGTCCTCCACACCTGAACGTTTCCGCCGTTCTTGGTTTTGGGGTGTGACAGCTGGGCTGAGGTGTGTGACACGTAGCTAGCTAAAGGGCAAGTTCTTGATAGCACTCTCACCGGCCCGGAAATCATTCGAGAAACCACTGGAAAAGATCGTACAAATCCGAGAACGGTTGAAAGCCTCAAGAGATAGAGAAAAGAGCTACGCAGATAAGAGACGAAAACCTTTGGAATTCCAGGTTGGTGACCGCGTTCTATTGAAGGTCTCTCCCTCAAAAGGCATGATTCGCTTCAGAAAGCATGGAAAACTAAATCCAATATACATTGGGCCATTTGAGATCCTCGCTAGAATCGGTCCCATAGCATACAAACTCCTTTTACCTCAAGAACTTAACAACGTACATCCTGTCTTCCACGTGTCAAATCTAAAGAAGTGTCTATCCGACGAGACTCTTGTGATCCCACTCGATGAAATCAAGATAAACGAGAGTCTTAAATTTGTTGAAGAACCAGTAGAAATCATGGGTAGGGAAGTCAAGCGAACGAAACAAAGTCGCATACCAATAGTGAAGGTTCGCTGGAACGCCAAGCGGGGACCTGAATTCACTTGGGAGCGAGAAGACCACATGCAACAAAAGTACCCGCTTCTTTTCCCTAGTCAATGATGTTCTCATTGTAGAAATAATTTCGGGACGAAATTCACTCTAACGGGGGGATAATGTAACAACCCGTCATTCTCAATTCAATAAAAGTCAAAAACTACATTTCGATCCTTATGTCTATATATATATAAATATATATATATATATATATATATATATATATATATATATATATATATATATATCCTCTATTATCTCACAGGCATAATTATAAGCTAAAATCTAAATATAGCTTGAGTCTTAAGTGAACTATAATATTATAACATTAACATAAGTGTATAGTCTAAGGTTTAAATCATAAAATTTACCTCAAATGGACTTCACGGTCTAAGAATCAACTCCAAAAGGAGTTCACGGTCCAATTATAAAAGAAACATGTAGTTCACGATCCAAATAAACACATCTAAGAGGAGTTCACGGTTTGGAGTAAGGATCATTAGAGTTCACGGCCAAGAGATGACCGTGAACACCTCTTAATGGGCCGAAAACCCCATTAGAAGTCCATTAGTGGACCGTAAACACCAAGGCCCAATGCCACTTGAACCGTAAACACCCCTATATATATGTTCACCCGTAAATCAATTCATTTCTCCACTTTTCAACCGTGAACCACTCCAAAATTGCTCTCAACTACCTTCCATGAACTCTCCCAATATTTAAAGATTTTACCCAAATTGCTCTCAACTACCATCCGTGAACTCTCCCAAATTGCTCTCAACTACCATCAAGAACATTCAAGCCCACCTTCAATTCTTCGTATGATCTTCAATTGCTCTCAAGTACCCGTTGCATAATTAATTTATTATTTAACCTTCATTTAAATTAATATTCTTATTAATTTATATACGACGTCGAATACAAATATTTTAGGATAATGTTATTTTGCACGTACGCTAGCCCGATGATCGTCTCTACCGCTTCGCTATCCCAGAGTCGAACACGCAACAGAGGTGAGTTCATACCCCTACATTTTCAACATTTTTAATATTTTAGGGAGGGAATACAAGTAAAACACAAGGACTTTTGAGTTTATTCAATAAATTTTAAATAGTCTTAAAACCTTTGCAATTGTTTTCAAACCGAGTATTCGCTACATTTCCTAAAAGCATTTCATATATTTTTAACCCTTTTGTAATATGTCGAGCATAAGGGTAAATTGCTTTTAAACAAATAGATTGAAAATTTTTACATTACAATACATAACATTACAGTTAAAGTATAATCAGTATAGTTCACTACTAGAAAAACACCCTTTTACGACACGCAATGCGTGTTGTAAAACGCTCAGACGACACGCAAATGCGTGTCAAGGAAGGCCCTGTCATAACGAGAGACGACACATTTTTGCGCGTCGTCTATTTACGACGCGCATCTACGACGCGTATTTATGACACACATTTACGACGCCCAGTTATGACACGCAATGCGTATCATGGAAGGCCCTGTCATAAAGGAAGACGACACGCATTTGCGTGTCATAAGCTTACGACGCATATGTTTACGACACGCAATGCGTATCAAGGAAACCCCTGTCGTAAAGGAAGACGACACAATTTTTTGCGTATCATAATTTTAAATGTTTTTAAAATTATATATTTTAATAGATTTACTAATTTTCAAATTAAATAACACACTAAAAGTCTCATAATACAAAATAAAATACCATAAACAATAAAGATAATTCATTGCACTAATATGTCAAATACAAATAATCATTCCACTAGTAAGTAAATGTAACACATTGCTAATATTGCATAATATTTGTTATAGAAAACAAAACATGTACAACATTAAAAGAAACCCATGACTAAATTCTCCTTTGACAATTTCCTTTCTAAGAGAATAACCTGAATGCAGAAACTTTGAGAGGCTGCAGGGCGTGGAATGAGGTTGGTAGAGCTGTCAGATGCTGCACAGGGCAAATCGGTAACTTAACATGCAATACAATACAAGATGATATGATAGAGAAAAGAGAAAAGTGAATACCCACCTGGAAGTTTGCACCTTCAAAAACCGGATCAAGGGTACTAAGGTCAAGCAGCCAATCAATGAATAACTTCCAATACGGTCTGGGGTTGAATGATGTTTTCTTCTCCTCAGCATGTTTTTGAATGAATCTCACAGTCATTGATAACACATGTTGCAAAAAATGTCAAATAATCACAAGTCTTGATTGTAATTTGCGATTCTAAACTTTTACAGAAGAGATAGCTTGCTTACTCCATGGAAAAGCATACTTGTCTTGAATGTCTACATCTGGCATAAGGACAATGTTAATAAAAGAAGATAACATTATGTACCACAAGTACCCTCAAGTAATCAATCTCTTACAATGTTACTAAAATACCCTCAAGTAATCAGTCTCTTACAAAGTTACTAAGAGACTTAGATACTCAGTTGGTATGTAATATGGCACTAAGAAGCCCAAGAATTGTTTGTGTTTTTCCTGTTCCTGGTAGGTCCTACATAGACAAAAGGTAAGAATTAACATTTTCAAAGTACAATGCCTCAATAAGGAAATCAATGGTAAAAGGCAAATCTGAATAAGAACAAACTTTCTACATGAAAGACATGCTTGCAGGATTCAAACTTTCTAGCTGTTGACAATCAACCATATGCACACTTTCATCCCTTAAAAGACGCCTCTCTAATGTTGAGAAACTACACAAACAATATCAAGATTAAAAAACATAAAAACATAATAAATCTTTTTAATTAAAACGATTTGATTTACCTTCTTGCTATAGCATCAAACTCTGAGTAGCATTAGAAATATAATTGCTGATTTTGGCACCACAAAAGGAAACTTGAAGCTTCATTATTTTCATTGATAGTTGAAATAAAAATTCCCAATCCAAACTCCTTCACGTAAAAACAAATAATATGTTAGGAAAGTTTTTGATAAAAGAAACAAGTTGAAAAAACTAAAAAAAAGGACCCTACAGAGAGGACAAAAACAAGTTGATTTAATTATGGATGAAATTGTGTTGTTCAAGGCGTTCCAAAAGGCTTTTTCCATCGACATCTCTGACTAAAACGATTTGTAGCGATTTTCCAAAAAGTGAATCTGGTACTGCAATCGTTAGAAGCTAACGCGCGAGAGGCTGCTTCCATGGCGGAATTTGCGAGACTTGCCATGGGCATAGTGAAATCGTTACGCTCTTACCAAAATGCCCAAATAGTGAGTTAAATACAGCCGATTAGGGAAGGAAAGATGTGAATGCGTAAAAGGCAATACTTAGGGTTCCGGTGGGTTTGCTAAAATTAAAGGGTCGGAAAAATTATAAAACGGTGACATGGTACACTAGAGCACCGACGCCAACACGCTCGACAATGAGGCGTTTTCTTATTTTTTGGGTTTTTAGTCGAAGCAGGGAGGTCGATAGATGTTTTCAAACAGAAATCGTTGATTAGAGAGCCGAAGAAGATAGAATCACAGAAGGCGTGAAGTATGAATTGAGTTTTTAGGGTTCAATCATGGTGACGATGGCTTAGGGTTTACAGAGAGAAGGAAGGGAGAAACAGAGAAGAGAGTGCAGAAGCGAGGTAGTTCAAAATTTTAGAATTTGAGTGGATTTCATTTTCCCCCATTAAAAACGCGCGTTGTAGTAAAAAAATTATAAAGCGAGACTTGTAGATGACACACATTTAAGATAAGCTGCTTCCGTGTTTGTATTTTTTTTCACATTAATTTTTAGGGCACGCAAAAATGCGTGTCCTCTATCCTTCAAATTTTGCAAAAGTGACATTATTTTTTAGGGCACACACAAATATGTGTCCTCTATCAGCGCGTGTCATTGTTTGCGCGTCATTAAATGGTTGTTTTCTAGTAGTGGGTTGAGCTTCACTACACTAGTTTTGTGACTGGGATGCCGAGGATTACAAAACAAGGTGTGAATAACCATGCAAATATACTTGGTACCCTTAATATTTATCACTTAATCGATGTGCCGGTTAACCACACGCGCTCCACTGATCCTATGATAAACATTAAGTTGCCCTTTTCATACCTTTTTAAATCCAGGTTAGTGTGCCGGTTAACCACACACGCTCCACTAACGATTTAAGCAAAGTGCAAAGTGTAATTTCATGCGTTAGCACCTAATTCACATTTTCCTAAAGTAACTAAGATAGGGAATTTATAAAATGTTTAGTTACTTTATATTTATCATTATACTTATAATGAAAATTATAGTCCTTGTCCTACCCGTTCAGCTAACGACCCTCCACCAGTCAAGGAAGTAGTGGGTGAGAGTGGACACCCATTAAATTGCCATTTTATAGGCAGTAACCTTATACCCCCTTATAGACCGGCTTCGTGAATGAGGCCTACTAATTGTAAGACTAACTTGCTCTATATATATATATATATATATATATATATATATATGTTATTAACTTATAATACCATAAAGTATAATGGTTGAATTTTAACTTTTAAAACTCTAGGGTTTGGAATTAAAGTGTGTGTCAGACTTTACAAAATTCCAAAACTGAAGGGCAAGTTTTGAACTATTCAAAAACTCTTGGATTTTCATAACTTATGAGTTTAATTAAGGTTTTAACAAACTTTAATGAAGAGACTCTTAAACATCCATAACTTGAGGACAAGTTATGGAGTTCATAAAACAAAAAGACTCTTCAATTTTGTAACCTATGCATTTTAATGAATCTTTAAAACAAATGTCTTTTGGTAATCCATAACTTGAGGACAAACTATGGGCTCCATTAAATTACATTTAGATCAAGAATTAACTAACAACCAATTTGCAAATAATTCCTATGATCTACCAAAACTCATAAGTGTATGAACAATCATATCAACAAATTCAAGAATTACATAAACACACATAAAGCTTGAAATTTTGATAACAACTTTGAAATTGGTGTACCATAGTTATAACCACATCAAAAATAGGTTTTATAAGTCTAAAACAGTTTAAGGTAATGATTCTAGACCAATTCCAGCCTTAAAACTCGAAGATATGCTGTCAGGGGGTCCAACTCGTCGAGTGCATGAACCAACTCGACGAGTTGGATGAATTTAGGCATGGACTCGTCGAGTCCCTTAATGGACTCGGCGAGTCAGCTAACCAGACAACATACAAACTTTGATTTTCAGCAATTTGCATCAAGTATAAAAGAAAACAAGCCTAGGCTCTGATACCACTGAAGGGTTTTGAGCATTCTAACACTCCTATGGTGTACATGCAACCCTATAAAACTTGGATCTATGTTTTCTCTATTATACATGCGAATATTCAATATTCCAAGGTTTCATCCTAACTAGCATAATATGGAGCAACTATACTACAAAAGCCTAGTTAGATGACATACCTTTTGATGGAGCTTGTGGTCTTGAACCTTTAAGAGCTTAGCCCCAATAGTGTGGAAGCCTCAAGTGGAATCACAAATCACCAAAACCACCTTGGAAAACTTGAGAGAATAGCAAGCACTTCTAGAAATCGGACCACTCTTGTATCCTCACACACTACTGCCATTTCATGTGCCAAAGACCTCTTTATATAGTATGGAGGATTAAGTTTACATTCATGTAACCCCTAATACCCATGACCTTTCATTTCCATAGGATCCATGGGTTAAAAACTCCATGGACTATCCATGCAAGCTTAGCCCAACCTAAAATGAACTTGGCCCATTCCAGATATATATAAAAGAGTCCATATTTAATTAGTTCCTTTTTGATCACTAAATTAATTCGAAATTAATTCTTGATCAATACTAGTTAAATAATATGATTCCATATTAATATTTTAGAACTTATAATATATTAATATAAATCATAAACATACTATTCTCAAAAGACTATCCATAAAAATTGTTTCGGTGAAGTGCAACCCAAATGGACCATGCCAAGTCGGGTCAAGTACATACCAATTATAGTTATGGGCTTAGACATTAATCCAACATATTTTATAGCACTATAACACTGGAACCAAACATGTGAAAACAAAGAACTCTTACTGATAGATCTATAAATGGTAAGGGTATACATGTAAGTTATATATAAGTAAGATTTCATAGATTTAGAATAGGTGGTTTAATTTTACTTCCTGCTCCTTGTTTGGTTGTGGACTTAGAGTAGGATCACCTAGTCGAAGGCCTATTTGATTTTAGTTATATGTAATTTGTGTACACTATGTAATTATAGGGGGGATCAGGCACAAATGACATTATACAAATTCATTCCAAGTGTTACTATTAAATTCATGGCGATTGTTTACTTGTATTACTAGACTTCCACTGTAAATTGCTTAATAGAACACTATAATTGTCAGGATAAGATATATCTCGTTCATTATCACCTGACTGATGACCCCTATAGAGGACTCATCGTTACTTTCTCTTTAATTATTTTAGAGAAAGATGGCTCCAAAGAAGTCCAACAAAAAGAAAAACAGCACTTCGACAAATCCACCACCGCCACCACCACCCCAATTTGACCCTGTTGTCTTCCAAGCAGCAGTAATCGCCGTTGTGGCTGCCGCCATATCGCAGATTAATAACAACGACACTAGCATATCGGGTAGTGGTAACAATCCTCTTAACCTCGGAGTTAGCCGTGGACACCCGAGGGAGAGTTCCTATAAGGATTTCACAAACGCTAAACCCTAGTCTTTCGATGGCACCGGAGGTGTTATCGCCTTAACCCATTGGTTCGAAAAGACCGAATCAATCTTTGAGATCTATGCGTGCCCCGAGTCGAGCAAAGTAAAAATTTCAGCATGTACCTTCACTGATAGAGCACTAACTTGGTGGAACAACCAAGTCAAATCCATGAGTCTACCGATAGCTAACACTATGAGTTGGGACGATTCGAAAGAAATGATGCTCGTCGAATACTGCCCGAGGGGCGAGATGCAAAAGCTAGAGCAGGAGCTCTGGAATCTGAAGATGAAGGATTCCGATGTCCCTGCTTACAATGTTAGGTTCAGTGACCTGGCTCTTCTATGTCCCGGGATGGTCACCCCAGAAAGCAAGAAGGTTGAAAGATACATATGGGGATTGACACCCCTAACTCAAGGGAATGTCTTAGCTGCCAAACCACTCACTTTTGATAGTGCTAAGAAACTGGCACAGACCTTGGTGGATCACGGGGATCGCCAC